TTTGGTATAAAGAGGTTTTTGGTGCCTTTTAAGTGTACAGCGGCTCATTCTAGCACTCACTTTTACCCTTTGTATATTATTGTACTGTTTTACTACCAAAAGTGTTTTGCAACACTAAAAATTTTGTTATCCAACCTCTTTATTGCTGCATTTGTTCTGTATTTTGAAAAGCCAATATACAGAAAGAAGCACCTGTGTAGTTTAGCCAATCATTTTCTGCATATGAGATATTTGTGGTCTGGCTGCATCCATTGCCCACATACTAGGTGGCCATCTTTATCATTTCAGAAAGTTGGGAGGTATGGTATTACTGCCAGAATAATATGCTTCAAGATACTGGATTTTCTGCATGATACTGGAAGAATTTTTCACATCACAGTAGTGGGAGTTGTGTACTTAAGGTGATGCCATTTATTGCCTAACTAAATACTGTACATCATAGTGCGAGCTTTCATAACACATTGGCCTCTTTTTCAGGCATTCTTCATACTTCCTCTTTTGTTAATGACTAATACAGTACAACACTCTGCTACTGCTCCACTGCACAATAAAACAAAGCCTGACTGGCTCACAGTAAGGGTCCGTTCACATTGTACACACGCTATATCGGAGGTTAGTGTGCTGGCAGCTCTCAGTTTCAGCCGCAGTGAACTGCGGTAAGGGGACAACGTGATGCAAGTTTCAGTGCATCATACAGTTCTTATTTTTCTTTTTTTTTTGTAAGTTCACAAAGTGACCATTCATATCACGGCACAGCAGCGCGGTGTGTTGCGTTGCTGTCCACTGTTGTTCTGTGCCTCCCTTTGCTTTGTGATAAAATGTAGCATATCGCAGCTCACTGCAGTGCACCACAGGGCTACATCGCAGTGCGAACTGTACACATAGAAAACAATTGTCTTCCCACTTGTCCCCTAGGGGTGACTCTCCTTCTTCCAGTGCAGAAAAAGGGCAGGTACTGTGCTATGTGTGAACGGGCCCTAAATAACCTCCAACTCTCTCTGATCAACACACTGATTTGTGATGCACTGGATATTAGAACAAGGTAATAGAAAAACAAATTTAAAGTGTTGCAGACAGCTTTTTTCTCAAAGAATAGGTGCAGGAACTCCCCCCTGTCTCTGCCCCTTACCTACCTCCGAGCATTGTCCCTTGGTTCCACCTCCTACCCACCTCCCAGTACTACCCCTTTTAGAGAATACAGAACCCATTATCATATTATTGTGCTAAGTAATCTGGAATTTGTTAAAGATAAAGCAGTAATATAGATTCCCTGCAGCCAGAAACTATAGACCCCCCAGCAACAATAGACCCCTGGAAGCAACATCAAATCTTTAAACCCCCCAAGTGCCAGAAATAATAGACCCCCCAACAGTAGATCCCTCTCAGCAACAAAAGACCCCCCCAGAAAGATGAGCCCCCCAGCAACAACATATCATCCACCAGCAACAATAGACCCACAATCAAAAATAGACCCCTCCCGCAACAATAGATCCCCTAGCAGCAAGCATCAATAGACCCTCCAGCACACCCCAGCACTCTTTGCCATTATAAACATTAGGTACTGGAGGTACCAGAACTGCGTCCCCCCACATTCCTGCTGAAAAAAAAAGCCCTGGTTGCAGATTTTAAAATGCAGCTTGTTGCACATTACATACAGTTGCAAGAAAAAGTATGTGAACCCCTTGGGATTCCGTGGAGTTTTGCATGAATTGGGCAAAAAATGTGCTCTGAACGTCATCTAAGTCACAACAATAGAAGAACACAGTCTGCTGAACATAATACTACACAAACATTAGATGTTGCCATGGTTTAATTGCACATAACATGTAAACATTCACAGTGCAGGGAGGAAAAAGTATGTGAGGCCCTAGCTTAATGACTTCTCCCAGAGCTAATTGGAGCCAGGAGTGAGCCAACCTTGACTCCAATCAGTGTGATGATATTGGATGTGTTGCTGACAGCGGTCCTGCCCTTAAAAAACACACACCTGTTTTGGGTTTACTACTTTCAAGAAGCACTGTCTCATGTGAACCATGCCTCGCAGAAAAGAGCTCTCAGAAGACCTACGATCAAGAATTGTTGACTTGCATGAAGCTGGAAAGGGTTACAAAAGTATCTCCAAAAGCCTTGATGTTCATGTGTCCACGGTAAGACAGACTGTTTACAAATGGAGAAAGTTTAGCACTGTTGCTACTCTCCCTAGGCGTGGTTGTCCTGTAAAAATGACTGCAAGAGCACAGCGCAGAATGCTGCATGAGGTAAAGAAGAATCCCAGAGTGTCAGCTAAAGTCCTACAGAAATCTTTGGCACATGCTAACATTTTTGTTGACACATCTACAATAAGGAAAACATTAAACAAGAATGGAGTACATGGGAGGACACCACGGAGGAAGCCATTGCTGTCCAAAAAGAATATTGCAGCACGTTTGAAGTTTGCAAAAGAGCACCTGGATGTTTCACAGCACTACTGGCAAAATATACTGTGGACAGATGAAACCAAGATTAAGTTGTTTGGGAAGAACACACAACACCATGTGTGGAGAAAAAAAGGCACAGCACACCAACATCAAAACCTCATCCCCACTGTAAAACATGGCGGAGGGAGCATCATGGTTTGGGGCTGCTTTGCTGCCTCAGGGCCTGGACAGATTGTTGTCATTGATGGGAAAATGAATTCCAGAGTTTATCAAGATATTTTGCAGGAAAACGTACGACCATCTGTCCGCCAACTGAAGCTCCGCAGAGGATGGGTGATGCAACAGGACAATGACCCAAAGCATACAAGTAATTCAACAAAACAATGGCTGCAACAGTACAGAATACGCCTTCTGGAGTGGCCCAGTTAGAGCCCTGACCTCAACCCAATTGAAATGCTCTGGCATGACCCTAAGAGAGCGATTCACACCAGACATCCCAAGAATATTGCTACACTGAAACAGTTTTGTGAAGAGGAGTGGTCCAAAATTACTCCAGATCGTTGTGCAGGTCTGATCTGCAACTACAGGAAACGTTTGGTTGAGGTTATTGCTGCCAAAGGAAGGTCAACCAGTTATTAAGTCCAAAGGTTCACATACTTTTTCCTCCCTGCACTGTGAATGTTTACATGTTATGTGCAATTAAACCATGGCAACATCTAATGTTTGTGTAGTATTATGTTCAGCAGACTGTGTTCTTCTATTGTTGTGACTTAGATGACGTTCAGAGCACATTTTATGCCCAATTCATGCAAAACTCCACGTAATCCCAAGGGGTTCACATACTTTTTCTTGCAACTGTAGTTGATTATGCAAGACTGAATGTTTTCTTAAGATCAAAGTAAAGATATGTACAAAAATAATATACAAAGGCATTATTGCACATTAGTGGTCAGTCCACTTAATTGGTTGAAACCCGTTACACTTAACCAGTAAAGTGGCTGGTTTCAAGTGATAAACAGAGATGAAACAAATACTCCTGCATAAGTTGTACTTGTTTATCTGCAGTCCTCTGTCATGTACAGCTTTCTAAAACACACAGAATGTACATCAAATCTGCCAGTATCTCTCAGCAGCACAAAGCAGGGGGTGTGGATCTGAATTCACACAATACACAGCTCAGGGGGAAGAATCTGAGCCCTGATTGCAAGAAAGGGACACACCCCCTCTGCTCACATTACGCATAGAACAAGCACAGCTGTTGCTGCCAATCACAGGCTGTGTGCTGCTGGAGCTCTCCTCCTCTTCATCAATTATTTCTTGGTGGTGGGGAAGAGTTGCTGAAAGATGATGGAAGAAGACAGCAGAAAGAAATTATACTTAGAGCTATAGAAAGAGACTAGTATACACTATAGAAGGATCTGCTTTGTTCAGAGTTCATGTCTGAAGTTTACAGCCACGTTAATAGGGATATTTTTATTTTTGGTATAGAGTATGGTGGACTGGGTTGGATTGTTCTTGGATTCTTTAACAGTCAGATCTTCCTGTCATAATTTATATCCACTTGGACGTTCGAGACCCGTTGCTCTCCTATTTAAAATAAAGCTGCTAAAAACATGTATCTGCTTCTATTTGGTGATCTAAACAGCCTCTCACTTTAAAACACTGCCAAATTTAGACTGGTTTTAAACTGAAGGTGGGGACTATAGTATACATCTAATGCTAAACCACATAATATCTAACCATATAAAAAATATACTGTTTATAGAAGCAGACATTCTTAAATATATGTGCATTCCATTCCTAATGTAATATAAAATTCACTCTATGTTTATCACTATTCAGAAAATAAGTTCATCCATATGACATACAAAAAGTAGAAGAGGATCCAATTTGTTACAGATTTATAAAAGGCAAATGGTCTGGGGCCAAAATGCATTAGTTAATGATATGTTTTAACCAATATCTTTCTGGAATAGATCTGGTCCAGTGATTAGCATGTGGCAAACATATCTAAGCTTGCCCTAATCCAACTGGCACTATGTCTATACACATTATAGACACAGGTGGCACTTAGCTGGAGGAAATTATAAACTATTCTTTAAAAGTCCTGAAGACATTTGTGACAGAAAAAAGATATCTCAGGATACCTTAATACTGTTAACTGTATAAGTAATAGAAAACCTTTGTTGGGGTATCATTGCAGATCTTGGAGAGATTTTTTTCATTAATAGAAAATGAACAATTTGTGATGAAGACTGGACAGGTAAATGATATTATACGTCTTTTCAAGTACATTGAATACCTAAAAACAGGCATTGCTGGCTAAAGGTGACACAATCACACTTACAGTCTGTTATAGTTCATTATGCATAGGTATTTCATGTAAACACATCTGGCCTTTCCAATCACAATGGCTTATAGTAGGCCATTTTGTTACAAATAGCCTCATTTTGTCTGCCTTTGCTGTTTGAGTTTTGGAAAATTAGAAAGCTTGGTGGCATATTGTGATTCTTGTCAGGTTTGTCTTAAGAATCTTCACAAACTTGTACATCAAGTTTGGCCTTCTGTAAGTGTTTACACAGTTTATTTCAGCTGAATGAGCTTATTAAGAAGGTCTTTTTCTCCCAACTCAAATAGGGCTTTAGCAATCTTTCCAACTGTAACACTCCTAGATCCAACTTTCATTTGCCACTTGTGCAACATTTGGAACACTTTTTCTTTTAGTCCATCTCTTTCATAGTCATGGTCAATTTCATCAATTTCTGGTTGTCGAAATCCAACTTTGCGTGCAAAACTCCTTCCATTTTCTGGACAGGTTATCTCTCAAAAGCAGAAGCTGGTTCTCTTTTGCTAAAGAAGTGTCCTCTGAAATACACAAGAAAATCAACTTAGAGAAAATGTGTATCAAGGTGTGGTCATCAATGACAACTTCTCTTTCTGAAGTTGCTAGTTGTCTGGATGTGTTGGTGACCCTTTGCCTAAAATACGCTTTGAACCATCGACTCAGAATGTCAATGGTAGTGTTGAATTCACTATGACCTAATTGGTTGTATGCAAAGTCAATGAAATCAAATATTTTCAGCCATAGACGGCCAGAAAACTAGAATTTTTGAAAAGAGGCCATTAATGGTTAACAAACACATCTTTGAAGTATGGGGTAAGTCAAATGAAACTGAGGCATCAGCTCATACTCGATATAGTGTAAAATCACAAACTCCAAAGTGCTTGAGTTGCTTTGTTGTACAAAACAAGAATTGCAGTTTTAGGTGCCTGTAAATGGGCAAAGAGGTGGTTATGTACCAAGGGCACTAATCCATTTTAGATTTTAGTTTACTGAAATTAGGTCAGTAGTGGATTATTTCTGATTGTATGTTACAGGTACTGCTCTTTCCCTATTAAAACCATATTTGTTTATAAATTTCCATATACCAGTCCAACAGTGTACAGTCTAATGTCAACCAAACTTTAAAATTCAGTGATGGGATTGTAACACACACAATCCCTCACCTACTTATAAAACTTCTATGCATTTAGTTCAGTAACCTGTCTGGTACTGCTGTGATCAATATAAATAAGCAGAAAGGAGATTTTTTTGACAGGCTAATACATACCAAACACATGTTGATATTGTTTGTAGGTAAAAATGTTCAGTGCCATGCCTGTTTATTGCTAGTGGTTCCTCAACTGACATGTAATTACTATTTCCAATCTGAATGGCTCTGCTATTTGATATAGTCAGATTGACCAATTTATCTACAAAAAAAAGGCAAAGCAAACAGGATAATAATCAGTCACATGTACACAATTAGATGCAAATATCTGACATAGTTACATAGTTAGCCTGGCTGAAAAAAGACAAAAGTCCTTCCAGTTCAACCATAAAAAAAGTTATAATCCTATACCCACAGTTGATCCAGAGGAAGGCAAAAAAACCCAGCAAAGCATGATCCAATTTGCTCCTGCTGGGAAAAAAAATCCCTTCCTGATCCCCCGAGAGGCAATCAGATATTCCCTGGATCAACTGTACCTATAAATGTTAGTATCCAGTTATATTCTGTGTATGTAAGAAAGAATCCAGGCCTTTTTGAAGCAATCCACTGAGCTGGCCAGAACTAACTCTTGAGGGAGTCTATTCCACATTTTCACAGCTCTCACTGTGAAGAAACCTTTCCGTGTTTGGAGATTAAATTTATTTTCCTCCAGATGTAAAGAGTGCCCCCTTGTCCTCTGTGATGACCTCAGGGTGAATAGCTCTACACCGAGTTCACTATATGAACCAATGATGTATTTACAGTTGCAAGAAAAAGTATGTGAACCCCTTGGGATTACGTGGAGTTTTGCATGAATTGGGCATAAAATGTGCTCTGAACGTCATCTAAGTCACAACAATAGAAGAACACTGTCTGCTGAACATAATACTACACAAACATTAGATGTTGCCATGGTTTAATTGCACATAACATGTAAACATTCACAGTGCAGGGAGGAAAACTTATGTGAGGCCCTAGCTTAATGGCTTCTCCCAGAGCTAATTGGAGCCAGGAGTGAGCCAACCTTGACTCCAATCAGTGTGATGATATTGGATGTGTTGATGACAGCTGTCCTGCCCTTAAAAAACACACACCTGTTTTGGGTTTACTGGTTTCAAGAAGCACTGTCTGATGTGAACCATGCCTCGCAGAAAAGAGCTCTCAGAAGACCTACGATCAAGAATTGTTGACTTGCATGAAGCTGGAAAGGGTTACAAAAGTATCTCCAAAAGCCTTGATGTTCATGTGTCCACGGTAAGACAGACTGTCTACAAATGGAGAAAGTTTAGCACTGTTGCTACTCTCCCTAGGCGTGGTCGTCCTGTAAAAATGACTGCAAGAGCACAGCGCAGAATGCTGCATGAGGTAAAGAAGAATCCCAGAGTGTCAGCTAAAGACCTACAGAAATCTCTGGCACATGCTAACATTTTTGTTGACACATCTACAATAAGGAAAACATTAAACAAGAATGGAGTACATGGGAGGACACCACGGAGGAAGCCATTGCTGTCCAAAAAGAATATTGCAGCACGTTTGAAGTTTGCAAAAGAGCACCTGGATGTTTCACAGCACTACTGGCAAAATATACTGTGGACAGATGAAACCAAGATTGAGTTGTTTGGGAAGTATGTGTGGAGAAAAAAAGGCACTGCACACCAACATCAAAATCTCATCCCCACTGTAAAACATGGCAGAGGGAGCATCATTGTTTGGGGCTGCTTTGCAGCCTCAGGGCCTGGACGGATTGTTGTCATTGATGGGAAAATGAATTCCAGAGTTTATCAAGACATTTTGCAGGAAAGCGTACGACCATCTGTCCGCCAACTGAAGCTCCGCAGAGGATGGGTGATGCAATGACCCAAAGCATACAAGCAATTCAACAAAACAATGGCTGCAACAGCACAGAATACGCCTTCTGGAGTGGCCCAGTCAGAGTCCTGACCTCAACCCGATTGAAATGCTGTGGCATGACCTTAAGAGAGCGATTCACACCAGACATCCCAAGAATATTGCTACACTGAAACAGTTTTGTGAAGAGGAGTGGTCCAAAATTACTCCAGATCGTTGTGCAGGTCTGATCTGCAACTACAGGAAACGTTTGGTTGAGGTTATTGCTGCCAAAGGAGGGTCAACTAGTTATTAAGTCCAAAGGTTCACATACTTTTTCCTCCCTGCACTGTGAATGTTTATATGTTATGTGCAGTTAAACCATGGCAACATCTAATTTTTGTGTAGTATTATGTTCAGCAGACTGTGTTCTTCTATTGTTGTGACTTAGATGACGTTCAGAGCACATTTTATGCCCAATTCATGCAAAACTCCACGTAATCCCAAGGGGTTCACATACTTTTTCTTGCAACTGTATACATGTTGATCATATCCCCCAATCTCCTCTTCTCAAGAGAGAATACATTTAGTTCCTCCTAATCTTTCCTCATAGCTGATCTCCTCTATGCCTCTTATCAGTTTAGTTACCCTTCTCTGTACTTTCCCAAGTTCCCCAATGTTCTTTTTGTGAATTAGTGCCCAAAACTGAACTTCATATTCCAGATGAGGTCTTACTAATGATTTGTACAGGGGTAATATGATATCTCTCTCTCTGGAGTCTATACCTCTTTTAATACAAGAGAGGATTTTGCTCGCTTTAGAAACCGCAGCTTGGTATTGCATGCCATTATTAAGCTTGTGATCTACCAGAACCCCCAGATCCTTCTCCACCATTGAGCCCCCCAGTTGTACTCCCCCTAGTATATATGATACATGCATATTCTTAGCCCCCAAGTGCATAACCTTACATTTATCAACCTTAAACCTCATTTGCCACATAGTTGCCCAATTAAACAGTGCGTTGACATTGAGGTTGGCCTGTAAGTTGGAGACATCCTGTAAGGACATTATTCCACTGCACAGCTTGGTGTCATCTGCAAAGACTGAAATGGGATTTTTAATCCCAGAACCTATATTGTTTATAAATATGTTAAAAAGTAAGGGTATCAACACTGAACCTTGGGGTACACCACTGATGACCCTAGACCATTCAGAGTATGAATCATTAACCACTACTCTTCGAATACGATCTTTTAGCCAGTTTTCTATCCATAGTATAGACTTGCTTCTCTGTTTACACACCAGGAACCTGTTAAAGGAAATCTTGGGAAAATATTAGATAAATATATCACTACCCCCTTAGGAGTCACTGGAAGATTTTGGTCCTTCTATAGTCCTGCACAGCCAGGCAACACACACTTCCACATAGGTTTGCATCAGAAATCAGTCCTTGAGCTTTGGAGCTTTGGTTTTGTTGTTATATTTAGGGGATTTGAATTGGGATAGGGTTAGGGGTGTACAGGTTGCCCAGGGAAACTGATAAACTGAGAACAACTTCCTGGAACTATTTACAAGCCTTCTCTGCAGCACAGTCTTTGTTGGAGAGCTAGCCAGTGTCTCTTTAGTGTACCACCCCAGACCCAAGATGAACTTCTCCTCTTCACTCAGAAATCTGGAGGTATCCCTGCAAAGGTTATCCTGTTCCTGTCACTTGAAGAGATGAACAGTCACTAGCAGGTGGCTAATCTGGTTTCCCACCAGAGTGCTCCTTCGGCTATCTGCCCAGGGGGTGCAGATGTACTCACTCAGATCCTCTCCGGTACCACTGGTGGGTTGGTGGCTGCTACCAGGCCTATCAGCTGGACTGCTCCTTCCCTGCCATACAGGTGGTCCTCTCTCAGGGGGTCGGGGAGCTCTGAGCTTTCCTCCTTTCCAGCTCTAGGCCTGCAGGTAGACCCAATCCCACTGGGCATCCTCCTTTTTGTCTCACATCTTCCTCTCTATCTTCTAAACAAACTCTCCTGCAACTGAGCAGGCTCCAACACGTTTTAGGGTGTCCAAGCCTGATGCAAAGCCTTCTATTGGGGATTGGCTAAGGACCCTCAAGAGTTCAGCCAGCCACTCCTCTGGTCCACCCATTGCCTCTAGAGCCTTCCTCCAAAACTCTAGAGCAGCAGGAAATTCCAGAGGGGCTGGCCTGCAGAGCCTCTCAGCTGCTGACCATGATTTGACCTTCTAGCTAGTACACCCAGGCTGCTACTCAGCCTTCTTCACTACCAGTTAAACACTAGGTTCCTCTAGATAAACTAGGAGGGTGCTACATATATATATATATATATATATATATATATATATATATATATATATATATATATATATACATAAATTAACTAACCTAACTCTAAAAACTCTAAACCCCTGCAATTACATTAAAATATGCTGCCTTGTAAAATTCAGGTCTCTCCCAACCACTGCACACCATAAAAAGGCGGTACGGGCAGCCATGTACAGTTGAAATTTTTAAACTGAAAGTGATACTAAACACACACTATTTAATTTACATTATCCCTTCTCTTTCTGTATGGGGATGATGGCACTGAAATGAGTTTAGTAAAACAACATTTCAGTACCTTTTTCCTAATTGATATATAGCTGTCATATGACCCAGCTCTTTCCCAGGCTGTCTGCAAGGAAGCATAAGCAGGAGGAGCTTCTAGTCCTCTGCTGCTGGCCACATGTTTGGAATACAGAGTAAAAATAAATAATTAATATCAATAAACTGTTTTAAATCATCAGACAAATATACATTCTCACAGAAGTGAGTACACCTTTTAGAAGCGTTCCATAACCTAATATCTAATATCTGATTATTAACAGTATTAACATATGTATGAATGTGTTGGATCCTAATAGAATAATTGAGTTATTATAATTTTATTTGTTCTAGATTGGGAAAAGTGAGATAAACAGACTATTGTTATCCTATGTGAATACATATGTATATGGCTATATATATTGGGTTTTTTCTCTACATTCAAGCAACATGTGGTAGTAATTTAGTCATGAATCGGTTAGCTAGCTTTCCCTCCTCCATCTCCCCCCATCTCTGTGGATAGGAGCTAAAGTTTCACTAATAAGAGAATTGTAAAAATATATTTCATACATGTTAAGCATACAAGATTTATACTGTAATATTTCTTGATTAGGATATTTATATATGATATAACTTTTATATTAAGATTACTTTTAGGAGATATATGTGTAACACATCCCATTCCCCTGACTGATGGAATGTCAATGAAGTTTTGATTAGAGGTCCCAAGGATTAAATTTCAGACTCTCTCTTAGGGGAGGGGAGCAGACTGAAGGTTTGCTCTATGCATCTGTCACCAGGTTTCATTGTAGGACTATAAGAACCAGAGAGGGAAACCAGACCACTTTTAGGAGAAGGGGGGGGGGGGACTGAATTGCTCCTTATAGAGCAGACCAAAGACTTTTTGGTGGCACACTTTTTAGAAGCTGGGCTATGGAGTCTACAGATTCACAACACACACACATAATTTTACATACAATTTTTATCTCAAGAACATAACTATAGTTTTTGGACATTATCTAAACATTCTGTATTCCAATATTTTATTTCTAATTTTATGCAATATTATTATTAAATCAATTTTTGAGTTCATGCAAGAGCTGGAAGGACTTTCTATTTTGGACTTTTCTCACCAATACAAGTTAACAAACATCGAGACAATCTGGTATTTTACAACACCCCTCACATTTGTGTAAATATTTTATTATATCTTTTCATGTGACAACACTGAAGAAATTACACTTTGCTACAATGTAAAGTAGTGCGTTTACAGCTTGTATAACACTGTAAATTTTCTATCCCCTCAAAATAACACAACACACAACCATTAATGTCTGCAACAAAAGTGAGTACACCCCTAAGTGAAAATGTCCAAATTGGGCCCAAAGTGTCAATATTTTGTGTGGCCACCATTATTTTCCAGTGCTGCCTTAACCCTCTTGGGCATGGAGTTCACCAGAGCTTCACAGGTGGCCACTGGAATCCTCTTCCACTCCTCCATGACGACATCATGGAGCTGGTGGATGTTAGAGACCTTGTGCTCCTCCACCTTCCGTTTGAGGATGCCCCACAGATGCTCAATAGGGTTTAGGACTAGAGACATGCTTGGCCAGTCCATCACCTTTACCCTCAGCTTCTTTAGCAAGGCAATGGTCATCTTGGAGGTATGTTTGTGGTCGTTATCATGTTGGAATACTGCCCTGCGGCCCAGTCTCCGAAGGGAGGGGATCATGCTCTGCTTCAGTATATTACAGTACATGCTGGCATTCATGGTTCCCTCAATGAACTGTAGCTCCCCAGTGCAGGCAGCACTCATGCAGCCCCAGACCATGACACTCCCACCACCATGCTTGACTGTAGGCAAAACACACTTGTCTTTGTACTCCTCACTTAGTTGCCGCCACACACGCTTGACACACCATCTGAACCAAATAAGTTTATCTTGGTCTCATCAGACCACAGGACATGGTTCTAGTAATCCATTTCCTTAGTCTGCTTGTCTTCAGCAAACTGTTTGCGGGCTTCTTGTGCATCATCTTTAGAAGAGGCTTCCTTCTGGGATGACAGCAATGCAGACCAGTTCGATGCAGTGTGCAGCGTATGGTCTGACCACTGACAGGCTGACCCCCCACCCCTTCAACCTCTGCAGCAATGCTGGCAGAACTCATACATCTATTTCCCAAAGACAGCCTCTGGATATGACGTTGAGCAAGTGCACTCAACCTCTTTGGTCGACCATGGCGAGGCCTGTTCTGAGTGGAACCTGTCCTGTTAAACCGCTGTATGGTCTTGGCCACCGTGCTGCAGCTCAGTTTCAGGGTCTTGGCAATCTTCTTATAGCCTAGGCCAGTGGTAGGCAAGCCGCGGCTCGCGAGCCACATGCGGCTCTTTACAAACTTAAATGCGGCTCTTCTGTGTGTCGGGCGCCCGCTCCTTTCCCTCATCTCGGGCGGCCGCCCCCTCCCTTCCCTCCTCTCGGGCGGCCGCCCCCCTCCCTCCTCTCGGGCGGCCGCCCCAAAAGTCAGGACTCTGCAGCTGTCAGGATGTAGGCGGGGCAGCCAGGATGTAGGCGGGGCAGCGTGACGAACTCCTCTCCTCTTACAGTCCGCCCTGAAGACCAGAACGGCGCGGGAACACGGCGAGAGGAACGCGCGCGGAGCAAAGGTAAGTGAATTGACACAGGGGGGACTTACTATATGGGGGATGAATTACTATATGGGGAATGTATTACTATATGGGGGATGAATTACTATGGGGGATGAATTACTATAGGGGGGATGAATTAATATGGGAGATGAATTACTATGGGGGATGAATTACTATGGGGGATGAATTACTATGGGGGATGAATTACTATATGGGGGATGAATTACTACTATGGGGGATGAATTACTATGGGGGATGAATTACTATGGGGGATGAACTACTATATGGGGGATTAATTACTATATGGGGAATGAATTACTATGGGGGATGAATTACTATATGGGGAATGAATTACTATAGGGGGGATGAATTACTATGGGGGATGAATTACTATGGGGGATGAATTACTATGGGGGATTAATTACTATGGGGGATGAATTACTATATGGGGGATGAATTACTATATGGGGGATGAATTGCTATGGGGGATGAATTGCTATATGGGGGATGAATTACTATGGGGGATGAATTACTATATGGGGGATGAATTACTATATGGGGGATGAATTGCTATATGGGGATGAATTGCTATATGGGGGATGAATTGCTATATGGGGGATGAATTACTATGGGGGATGAATTACTATATGGGGGATGAATTACTATGGGGGATGAATTACTATGGGGGATGAATTACTATATGGGGGATGAATTACTATGGGGGATGAATTACTATATGGGGGATGAATTACTATGGGGGATGAATTACAATGGGGATTGAATTACTATATGGGAGATGTATTTTCAGTTTTAAAAATGTGGATCTCAAAATAAATTTCAATTGTGGTTTTGGCGAGATTTGGCTCAGTTGAAAAAAAAAGGTTGCCCACCACTGGCCTAGGCCATCTTTATGTAGAGCAACAATTCTTTTTTCAGATCCTCTGAGAGTTCTTTGCCATGAGGTGCCATGTTGAACTTCCAGTGACCAGTATGAGAGAGGGAGAGCCATAACACCAAATTTAACACACCTGAGACCTTGTAACACTAACGAGTGACATGACACCAGGGAGGGAAAATGGCTAATTGGGCCCAATTTGGACATTTTCACTTAGAGGTGTACTCACTTTTGTTGCAAGCGGTTTTTTGCAGAATACAGGAAATTAATCATAGTGACTGAGTGATTATCAACAGCATGTAATACAATGTTTACTGATAGTTTGTTATAATGTGGATTTAGTGCAACACATATTCCTGTCCCCTGTGCCATTGAGAGGAAGTATGCCCTCTCTTAGGGCTCTTTAAGACAGTGGTATTGCTTAAAGCTTACAGGGCGGTATAGCAGCAGCGGCATGTGTTCAGGAGGAGTTACTACTAACACCAGATTTTTTTAAACTTTTAAAAAAAAATTGCCGAAAACAATTTTACATTGTCCCATTTATCTCAATGTCAGACTCTGCAGCCCAAAATAAAATTGCTGCGGCTGCAAAAATGAAAATGCAGGAAAAGAATAATGAAGTGAGACATAGGAGATAAAACAAGGATATGTATTTTAGAACAGTACATTTAAATACTATAGATAACTAATTCTATAATCGGAGTATATTATGTGTGTGCTTTTCTTTGGACCTTACCTGGAATGTAACTGTCCAGACTATGATTGCCTGTATAGCCAAAGTTTGCCTTAGGGAATGAGATATTCCCAGGTGTTCCTGAAAAAAAAAAAATCATAAATGAGAAATATGAAAACAGGAAGACCTACCATAATCTGAAAATAGATAAGTAAAGGTAAATATGATGAATAAAGAGTTCATCCTTGTTTAAAGAGCAACACCATGCTGATGTATTAAAGAGTATTAAAGACTATGTAAATCCAACATTTCATATTCCGGATTTGTGCCTGTTGTACCATGTATTTGTATAAAAAGGTATCCTGTTCTTTTTGTGTTGCTTCCTTTGTGTAAAATCCCTGGTGTCCATGTCAGTTCCTCTGCTTTCCTATTCTCTAGCTGTTTTGGGAACTCAAAGATGAGACTTGTTCTGCCACCTTACCCCAAGCCTTTCACTGAAAAGATAAGTGTAATGCTGTTTCTCCTCCCCCTGCTCTTATGCAGCTAAGAACAGAGGGAATGTGATCACATAGAAAAAAAGGGAAAAAGTGTTTATAACTTTTTTTTTATATCTATACCCATATGTTTTGCCTATCATTTATATTCTAAACTGCATGGGTTGTTTTACAAGGTGAGGATTTATATACAAACTATATTGCCAAAAGTACTGGGACACCCCTCCAAATCATTGGATTCAGGTGTTCCAATCACCTCCATGGCCACATGAGTATAAAATCAAGCACCTAGGCATGAAGGCTGCTTCTACAAACAGTTGTGAAAGAATGGATTGCTTTCAGGAGCTCAGTGAATTCAAGTGTGGTACCGTGATAGGTTGCCATCTCTACAATAAGTCCATCCATAACATTTCCTTGCTACTAAATAAAAAGCAACTCTGCCATGAAGTGGGACGCAACGTAAAATGACAGAGCAGGGTCAGCGCATGCTGAAGCACACAGAAGTCTCCAACTGTTTGCAGAGTCAATAGCTAAAGACCTCCAAACTTCATGTGGCCTTCAGATTAGCACAACAACAGTGTGTAGAGAGCTTCATTGAATGGGTTTCCATGGCCGAGCAGCTGCATCCAAGCCTTACATTACCAAGTGCAATGCAAAGCATCGGATGCAGTGGTGTAAAGCACACTACCACTGGACTCCAGAGCAGTGGAGACGTGTTCTTTGGAATGTAGAATCAAGCTTCTCTGTCTGGCAATCAGATGGACGTGTCTGGGTTTGATGGTTGCCAGGAAAATGGTACTTGCCTGACTGTATTGAGGCAAGTGTAAAGTTTAGTGGAGGGGGATTATGGTGTGGAGTTGTTTTCAAGAGGTTGGGCTTGGCCCCTTAGTTACAGTGAAGGGAACTCTTACGGTGTCAGCATATCAAGAAATTTTGGACAATTTCATGCTCCCAACATTGTGGGAACAGTTTGGGGATGGCCCCTTTCTGTGCCAACATGACTGCGCATCAATGCACAAAGCAAGGTCCATAAAGACATGGATGAATGAGTTTGGGGTGGAGGAACTTTATTGGCCTGAACAGAGTCCTGACTTCAACACCTTTGGGATGAATTAGAGTGGAGACTGCGAGCCAGGCCTTCTCGTCCGACATCAGTGCCTGACCTGACAAATGCACTTCTGGAAGAATGGTCAAACATTCCCATAGACACCCTCCTAAACCATGTGGACAGCCTTTCCAGAAGAGTTCAAGCTGTTATAGCTGCAAAGAGTGAGCCAACTCAATATTGAACCCTATGGACTAAGACTGGGATGCCATTAAAGTTCATTTGCGTGTAAAGGCAGGTGTCCCAATACTTTTGGCAATAATGTTCTTTAAACAGAGATTGAAAAGTAAAAAGTAAACAGAGAATTGAAAAATAGGTGTACTTATTACAATTTATTATGCAAACATCTAGAGCAGGGGTGTCCAACCTTTTCAGTTTCCTGGGTCACATTGGAAGAAGAGGAATTGTCTTGGGACGCACATTAAATACACTAATAATAAGAAGAGCTGATGAGCAGAAATCACTGATATAGATAATGTACTTATCTGACTAATAAAACTTCATTTTTTTGTAATATTTTGTATTATAAAAGTAAAAGAGGATAACATAAAAGTCGTGCAATATTTGACACTGTTTTTGATAAACTGACACATCTATATCTGCTTCGATGGATGTAGTAGCAATGCTCAATGAATTCTGAAGGTGCTCAGCTGATATTTTGGTTCTAATTTTGCCCTTCATGTGCTTTATCCTTGCTCACAAAAATAGGTGCTGCTGAAAACTGATGACATAAATAAGGAGTGATTACGAAGAGTGGGATATTTTTATTTGGGAAGATAAAACCTATAAAAGTCCAGTAAAGAGACTCTGTCAGTCTCTCAGGCTCACTGTACAATTTGAAAAGAAAGGACAACTTTTCTCTCTAGTTGCTCTTATCTTCTCTCAATATTCCACTCATATGTGTGTTTGATTTCAGTGCTGAAAATCTGCTAGAGGAATTGAAGCAAAGAGGCCCTAAATATTCAACATACTCAGTGCAAGTGCCCCACTTGCCTTTGTGTTTGTTATACCTCTGAATGAGGAGGTCAATACTTAATTTAGGCTGGTCATACACTAAGCAAATGTCGGCTGGTACCTGATAAACCAAACAAAATTTGAGCCGCCGGTGGACCTGCTGGCATCACACAGTCCATCATCCTTTAATTTGAAAATCAAAGCAGCCAGGCAGAAAATTGTCAACTAAACAATGACTGCAGCTAATCAGCTGCAGTTACTGTTTGGGTATTCTGACAGCTGAAGGTGCTGGCTGCCAGAATAAAAGAGCCAGCAGCCAGAGAATCATCCATCTACACTGTTTAGTGTGCAATTGGAAATCAGTAGATTTCTCTTGTTCAGCCCGTAGGGCTGAATGAGAGAAATCTAAGTATGTATGACCACCCTAAACCTTCCACCATTCAAATGGTGTATATTTACATATCAATAAAAACATGCTTTACTTCTGACATGTATGCAATTGAACACACTGCAGTAATGCAAAGTATACACTGACGATTTGAAGTCTAACTCCAGGATTTTGTAAAAACAAAATATATATTTTGCCCAACATATACAGTATATGCTGTGCAGTACTCACAATGCACAGCGTAATCCTGACAATAGACCACCTACTCCATATGTGATAATTTCTCTGATATTTGACTATTAGGCTTATATAGACTTTATACAAAGGAAATTGAGTTGAACTAATTAGCAAAACTGCATAGTTTCCTGAGTAATATTAGTAGTTCTCAAATTTCACAAGTTGTCTGGAACCTGCATAAATACAGATAAAAAACAGGCTAAAATGGTCGACATTCTAAATGTACTAATACCAGAATAAGCATGCAGCACAGGAAGTCAGAACTTCTGATTTGCATACTTGTTCTGGATTGGCAAGTCATACTCATCACAGCCAACTTACATTATCTAGCATTTTCAGAATGAGAAGTCAGCAACAGCAACTCTTGTATTTTTCTTAGCTCGTTTCCTCTAATAAATTTACCAGGCAATCCATTTATAGTTGAAAATGTATATGGCCTAAAATAGACTTGAAAAGAGAATGGGGCATGTATGAACAAAGTTGTAAAGGAAAGCTGCAAACACACTTACCCCCTGTATAACTCATATTACTAGCATATGCATAGTTTGTGTGCTGTGGGTAAGGAGCTGGCATCTCCGATTCTGCAACAGGAACATTAGTAGACTCATAAGGCACATAACCATGCAAGCCTTCAAGTTGTTCATAAGGATTTGTCCCCGATTCAGGTGTTTTTGGTGCAATAGCTGAAAGATGTGGACTAAACATTCTTTGGTGTTCACTAGGCACATAGATGTAGCCTGGGTCCCTCTGAGTAGGTTGTTCAGGGCTGTGTAGTACACTGAAATCCCCTGGAGTTTGTTGATACATCTCACTTGGTTCATTAAACACTCTACGACTTCTGAGATCACTTTGAACACCTGAGTTGGAAGGGTTAGTCATGTTGTCAATACGACTGCCAGTCTGATGATAATTCATTTCTTCTTGCAGTTTCTGCTGTAAGTTATATTTTTCTTCTTCACTCTCTTCTGGCTCATTGTAAGCCCTGAAAAAATTCTCATTTATGTGTCCATGTCCCAAGCCCAGAGAGCTATGCAGGGACTGGGGAGTATCTAGAAAAGAACAAAACATGTCAAACTTGACAAAATCGTGAATAGATAAAAGTATCCTATAATCACAAAAGTTGCCAAGCACAAATAATGGGCATGAACTAAACAGACTGTATCCTTTAGGTTGAACCAAAAAAATCTATGTGCATATTGCCAGCATAAATCTTCATATCTAACACCTAAGAGGATGTAAGTCCAACTGTAATTTATAAAATGCCTCTAAAAACCTAATTGAAGTAATGCCATTAAAAAAAAAATAATGTGCAAAGCATATACTGTATAAACACTATATATATATATATATATATATATATACGTCGGTAACAACCATGCAATCCATACATAAAAATAAACCAAAACAAATAAGTTCAGAAATTAAGTTATGTGTAATAAAATGGAATGACACAGAGAAAAAGAATTGAACACGCTAACTGAAATTTATTTAATACTTTTTACAAAAACCTTTGTTGGCAATGACAGCTTCAACACGCCTCCTGTATGGAGAAACTGGTCACATGAATTGCTCAGGTGTTATTTTGGCCCATTCTTCCACACAAATAGTCTTCAAATCTTGAAGGTTCCGTGGGCCTCTAATATGAATTTTGATCTTTAGATTTTTCTATAGATTTTCTATTGGATTCAAGTCAGGTGATTGGCTGGGCTATTCTAGCAGCTTTATTTTCTTTCTTTTCAACCAATTGAGAGTTTCCTTGGCTTTGTTTTTCGGATCATTGTCTTGGTGAAATGTCCACCCTCGTTTCTCCTTCATCATTATTATTTTTTTTTTTTTTTTTTAAGTATTTATTCATTTTCAAATATAACAATACAAAATTCCAAAATGGAAATACAAAAAAAACTAAATTCTCATAAAACCACTTATTTCATATCATTTTTCTCCCCATGACCCCCTTCATTCAACCCACCCTCAGCCCCACCCCTCTTCAATGAACCCCTGACATCTATCTAATCGACTTATATCTCACATCCTCTGGATACAAAGATTTAAAAGGAAGAAAGACAAATTTCTATATGTTTTCTTTTTTTATACTTAATTAGAAAGTAACGTATTTCACCTTTACCTTAAACTCCTCCCCATTTCATATAATATGCCTCCATCCTATCTTCCTGTATGTAATATATTCTCCAATCTAGCAATCTGGTCCACTCTATTCATCCAGTCCTCTTCCCTCGGTGCCTCAACTTTGCGCCAAAACCTAGGTATCAAACTTTTTGCTGCATTTAGATAGCACCATATACCCAGTTCTTTATATTTATTCACTGATATTTTTGTAATATGAAAAAGACAAGTTTCAGGGTCCAGTCCAATCTCAGTTCCGGTAATAATCCTAATTTGATTTATAACCTTTCTCTAATATACTTGTATTTTTGAACATTCCCACCATATGTAATACATCGTGCCCAACCCTCCACACCCTCGCCAACACCAAGGTTGTTTCTCCCCACTCATCTTGTGCTCTACCGTCGGTGTAACATACCACCTTATCAAACATTTGAAGTTCATTTCCACCTCACGCATGCTGACATTCTCGTGTACCAGTCTATATATTTTTCTTTGTGTGTGCTCCTCCCACTCCACCCCTAAATCCCTTTCCCATTTTTCTATGTACCTTACTTTTGACTTTACTATCTAAATCAGTGAGAATTTTATATACTTTAGCAGTGCTGTGCTTCCCATCACCTCAAACTTCCAAATACTTCTCAAATAAATTCCAATCTTTTCTAATTCTAAGAGGCTTTGTCAATTTCCCCACAAACTGTTTCAATTGGTTATACCTCCATATATCTATCTTAGTGAAAATCCCTCCCTCTTCCCTTTTCAAATCCTACAGTGTTCTTAAGTTTACCCCCTCCATTACATCTCTCAACTGAGCGTCTTCCTTCTTAATCCATTTACCTGTACTTTCCTCTTTACCTGGGGGAAAAAACTCTGAATTTCTTAATGGCATTAGCAGTGAATTAAAATCCCAATTCCTCTGTTTGTGCATTTTATCCCACTCCCTTAATACAATCATAGTGTATGGACTCGTGCTCTCAGCTTATTCTCTAAACTGTGTTGACACCCAGACAATCCTACTCAAATCCTTTCCACTAAGTGTATTTTCTATTTTGACCCAATTTTTACTACTCTTTGAGTTGTGCATCCAATCAAAAATTCTTGCTAGGATAACTGCCCTGTAATATCTTCTAAAATCCGGCACTCCCAACCCACCCTTTTCTTTGTTTCTACTTACACTTCGTATGATACTCTAGGTTTTTTATTTTTCCATATATATCTTGTTACCATTCGCTTAATTGTCCTAAAATGCACCTCTGGGAGTTTAATGGGAATCATCTGGAATTTATACAGGATCTTGGGGACAATTACCATTTTTATCAAATTAATACGACCTAACCAGGAAGGATTTTCTCCACCAATTTTCTTCAATTCCTCCCTAATCTCATTTAACAATGGGATATAATTAGCTTTATAATGGTTTTTGTGTGAAGAAGTAAGTTTCACTCCCAGGTATTTTATTTCTCTATCTTTACATATAAAGGGAAATTCTCTCTGTATCTTTTCTTTTTTACTCCTTGGAAGATTTATATTTAATATCTCTGTTTTTCCCGGGTTAATTTTTAGGTTTGACAATTCCCCATATTCCTTCAATGTTTTCATTAGGTTACGAAGTGTTATCCTAGGGTTTCCAATATAGAACAAAAAATCGTCCGCAAATGCGGCTACCTTATGTTCTATCTTTCCTACGTTAATTCCCCTTATATCTATATTTTTCCTAATTGTTGATAACAGGGATTCCAAAGATAAAACAAACAACAATGGGGACAGTGGGCAACCCTGTCTGGTTCCGTTTGACATCGCAAAAGTCTCTGATCTCTCTCCATTTACCATTACCATCGCGGAAGGTCCTTCATACAACCTTCCAATCCACCTCCTCATCCTAATACCCAACCCCAGAACCTCTAGCGTATCCATCATAAAGCTCCAGTTAACCCTGTCAAATGCCTTCTCCGCATCTATCAAGAGCAACACCACTGGATTTTTTCCCCTTCTACTTTTCTGCATAAGCATCAGGGATCTCAACCCATTATCTTGGCCCTCTTTTCCCCTAACAAAGCCCACCTGATCCCCATGTATCCACTCTGGCATCAGATCTTTTAACCTATTCACCAAAACCTTTGCATACAACTTCGTATCTATGTTCAATAACGATATCGGTCTATAGCTTGAGCACTGGGAGATATCTTTACCTTCCTTATGTATTAGAACCACCTGGGCCAGTAGGGATTCCTGTCTCATCTCCATCTCTCCCCCCAACGTATCCATATATATCTTTAACTTAGGTAACAGTAAGTCACTATATTTTTTTATAATACCTCACAGTATACCCATCTGGACCAGGGCTTTTTCCCGTCATAAAGCTTTTTAATGCTATTTTTAATTCTTCCTGTGTAATTTCAGATTCTAAGGAGTTTAATAGTTCTTCACTTAATTTTGTTAGTCCTGCGTTTCTTAAATACTCCCTTCTTTTTTCAATATTTACCATTTTGTCCTTATTTGTAGCATCATTGGGGGCAATATTATATAATTTACTATAGTAATCCTTAAATACCTTTGCGATATCTTTGGTTGAGTGGACTAACTCTCTCTTGGAATTTTTTATTTTGTCTATATAATTCCTATTCTTTTTTTCCCTCAAGCTTCTCATTAGATACTTTCCCGGTCTATCTCCCCATTTATATCTTTCCCCCGTAATTTTATTAAAGATTCTCATTTTTTCTTCGTCCATCACTTTCTCTAATTCTTCCTTCTTTTTTATCACTTTTTGCTCTATCTCTTTCATTATGTTATTTTTATGTAGGCGTTCCATCTCAGCTAATTCCTTCAAAAGCCCACTAATCTTCTCTCGCCTTTCCCTTTTTTTCTTTGCCCCAATCGCAATAAGGATTCCTCTTATGTATACTTTATGCGCCTCCCACACTGTAGCCAATGATACATCTCCCGTTTCATTCTCCTCAAAAAATCTCCTTATCTCCTCCCTAATCTTCTGTTCAGTATCTTGGTCCATGAGAAGTGCCTCATTCAGCCTCCATGATAGGCCTCCCGACGACTTCCCTCCCCATCTTAATTTCATTACAACAGGGGCGTGATCCGAAAAAGTCATTGCTTCTATTTTTACCCTAGCCAAATCCTCAATGAGTCGATGGTCTATCAATATATAGTCCAATCTAGAATATGTCTCATGAATATTAGAGAAAAAAGTATAGTCTCTATCTCTCATGTTTACAATTCTCCAGCTATCCACCAGTTGACTCTCTCTCATCACCTTCTTCAATAATCCCATCGACCTATTCCCCACTCTCTGCACTAAAGAAGTTGTATCTATTTGTGGATCCATACATAGGTTAAAGTCTCCAGCCACTATTAAATATCCCTTTCCAAAATCCATCAATCTCTTCAGAACCCCTTTCAAAAACATCTCCGGCTTCCTATTAGGGCAATATATGTTAGCGAGCGTACACTCAATGTCCTGCAATTTACCTTTCAAGAACAAAAACCTCCCATCCGGATCCGTTTTCCTATCCTCCAGTTCAAACCTAATATTTTTTGCGAATCCTATAGCCACACCCTTCGCTCTCTTAACTGGGGAATCTGCATAGTACCATATCGAATAATATCTAAGTTCAACTTAAGGTTTTTTTTTTTAACTCAAGGTGCGTTTCCTGCAAAAATACCACTGAGGCCGCTCTATGCTGTAATTCTCTAAATAACCTAAATCTTTTACCTGGGCAATTTAACCCATTTACATTATGGGTTACAAACTGTATTTCCTCCATATTTCATTTATCTTCTTCCTATTTTACCATCTCCTTTCTTCTTCCCATTCCTTATACCTCTTCTCTTGTGCAAGATGTCAGTTTTAAAACCCCCTCTCCCCCCTCCCTCCCTAACTCCCTCCCTCCCACCCACCCCCTCCTCCCCCTCC